TACTAGGAAACCCCTCAATCCCTCATAAACCTGGACTAGGCAGTGTTTCATTCTGTTGTTTGTAAGGTTGCTGTAGGTTAGATCTGAATCAAGGGCGCTCCACAACAGTAATGATACCTAGAAATCATTTCAATGAAAATATATTTTGCAGATTGTTCCAGATCAATTCTGTAGTGATTAACAAATATCTGTGGAGTATCCATCACGTGCTACGCACTGTTTTAGAAGTTGAAAACAGAGCAGAAATAAAATGGATAAAAATCCTTTCCCTGATGGAGCTGGCTGGCTTGTAATTCCCTCTGTTGTACATATATAACCTCTCCCCCGTTCAGCAGTAGGTTTGCAGCCAGTTTTTTTGCTACTATGGCCGGTACCTTCCTGGACATTGGTATGTGTCCATCTTTCCCACAGGTGGGCATAGCAACACTGTTCAAGAACTTTCTGTATTGATGGAAATGTCCTATACCTGCACTGGTTAATGCAGGACCACTAGTTCCATGTAGCTATTGAGATCTTTAGATGCAGCAAGTGAGACTGAAGAGCTGAATTTTTCCTTTTGTTAGTTTTAATGTGTTTACAGTGTAAACAGTCACAAGCACTGGGCAAATCTATGGAAGAGCACACTGGAAACAAAAAAGCAAATAGCAGGGGATGTGCTGTTGTAACTTTGCTCACTAAAAAGTGTGATCAGTTATTGCTGTTATTGTTGCATAACCAATTACCAATAATTCAGTGGCTTAACCAACACACATTTATTATCAGTTTCTGTTAGTGAGGTGTGTGCTTCTGTTTTCAGGTTCCCACCAGGCTGCAAGCGCCAGCCAGGCTCTGTTCTCATCTGGAGATGACAGGGAAAGAATCCACTTCATAGCTCAACATCGCCTAGGTTATTGGGGAAATTCATTTCCTTGTGGTTGTGGGACTGAAGGCCTGGTTTCTTGCTGGCTGTCCACATTGAAGGAACATATTATATGAGTGCGTCAGCACGAGGACTTGGGACTCCTAGGAGATTACCTGCTACCAAGATTATGCCAGTGGGCACTCCCATCAATGAATATGTGGGAGGGAGGTCCCGTGTCCCCACAAGAACACATTTTCAATTGTTTGGAGGTGCAGGTGCCACTCGCTTCCCCCACTCTTCTCCTGGCAGCCTCCTGCTCATTCAGGCCTCAGGTAATGCCATTTCCTTAGGACAGCCCTCCTCCCTGCCCACCTTCTCCTAGACCTCTCTCCTATTTTCCTCAGCAGCATGTATCACAAGTTCCTTGAATGATAATTTTTTAAAAGCATCTGTTGTCTTCTGACACCTCTCCGACCACATCTCTCCCACTCACACTGCATTCTCACACCCCAGAGAGATCCAGCACACAGTAGGCCCACAGGGACTCTTTGTTGTCTAAATGAGTATATCTCCCTTAACAGTCAGAGTCAAGTTTGCAAATCCCGTGGTGAGAACCTCTTCTCCACTTCATGCTCACATCAGAAGTCACACAAACAGAGAATGTCAGTGAGCCGAAAACGGCTGCCAGAAAAAAAATCTAAGGAAGAGAAAAGCTTCGTTCATTGCCAGAGCGACTATTACTGAAAAACAGCAAGTCTGAATGTGAGGAAGGGGAAGAGTTTGTAATATACTGGCAAGCTAAGAAAGGAGTTATTGTGTCCTCATTGCCGCGTACCATTGGGTAGATGCTGGTTCACCTTGACCCCGCGTGATGGAGTAACACTGTCCCACAGTGCTTTCCAGGGAGTTCTGGGGGCTTAGGGTAAGGAGGGGCACCCAAAGGCATGCAGTGAGAATCCACCAGCTGTTCCTCCCATGTGATTAACTGCCTTTGAAAAGTCGCTGGAGGGTCAGCCATGGGTCTCTTCTGACTTGATGGTACATAACAACATATCTTTCCTAAGGATCTCTGGTGGCATAATGAGTGACACGTTAGACTTCTAACACAACAGGTTGGTGGTTAAACTCTGCCAGCTGGCCTTGACACGGAGCTAAGACTATACATTCCTGTTAAGATTTAGGACCTCAGAAACCCAACGGAGCATCACTGTGAGCCAGGAAGAGGGTTTCCTAGACTGTAACCTTTTCAGAAGCAAATCACTAGGTCTTTTCTCCCGTGGACCCATTTTCACCAAGAATACCTGGGAGAAAATGGGGGGGGGGAGCATGTTCAGTCTAGTCTCAGCGTGGAGGGGTGGCCATGGGGATGGGATCCAGGGTAGGTGACTGGTTTTCAGAGTGTGGCCCAAACAGTAGCATCAGCAGGTTGGGAAACTTAGACATGCAAATGCTCACTCATGTCAGATTATCCAAGAAACAAACACTGACTTATCTTTACTTGCCAGTCAGTCGTGAACTGAAACATGCGTTTTCCCACAGCAAAGATGCTGCTTCTGAGCGTAGCTGTCCTGTCTCTCTCTCAGCCCCACCGCCCCTTCCCACAGAGCCTGCACCTCTTCAAATTTACCACCCTTGCCAGGGATGGGGTACCCAGTAAGCAAGGTAACTGTGGCTTTATTTGTTCTTACTGCTCTGCAGTGAGCAATTTCACCACAGTCATTGTCTTCAGATTAGTAAATAAACACAACTGAATCTGTGTTTACCTTGTTTCTTGGGTAATCTACATTGCCTGCCGCTGCCCAGACTACACCCCAGATCTCTTGAAGCAGAAACTCTGCAGGTAAATTCTATCATTCCTGCCACGTGATTAACAAGCATTCCAGGTGATTCTCCTGCAAGATGAAGTCCGAGAACTTCTGGAAGCCTTAAGCTCGTTGAAGGTGCTGAGACCAGCTGGCATCGAGTTAGATTTTGTTCTTTTTCTTAAAAATCTGTTAAATAGGTAAGCTAGCTTCTCTGTGCCTCATTTTGCATAGCCATAAAACGCGGATAACAATAGAGGTGGTAAGGATTTTTTTTTCCCTGTCAAGTTCTTAGAATAATAAGCACAGAAAAATGTCTCTATCATTTAAGTCCTACCCATTGTTTCTGTGACTGAGTATATAACTCTGAGCAGGTCAAGAGACTGAATCTGAGGCACTCAAGTGGATGTGAAGGTCAGGTTGGAGGCGTCTGTGCCCTCAACACCTTCCCTGATTCCTCCTCCACCCCTAGTCTGGCAGGATCCCTACCAGCCCAGCACAAAGCATACATCTGCTTCCTCCAAGGCAACCCTAGGCCCAGAGGGGAGAAAGGGCACGTTGGGCTGGAAATATTCCAGGTGTGCGGTGCCTGGCACAGGGACAGGAAAAAGAAATACTGAAGAGTAAGCACTGGCTCTCTGGGGCTGCTGCCAACACAGACAAGTTATTTATTGGTGAGGTGTGCCCACCTCAGATAACTAAAAATAATCCTTTCCATGCCCCCAGGTCAGGAGATTGAGTGCAAGGCAGAGTGCAGTGGGAACAACTGCAGAAATCAAGCCAGCCAAGAAAGGAGAGTGGCAAGAAAATGGAAATTCAGTTAACCTGGTTTATCAACTCAGTTTATTTGCTCTGTGTAGACACATGGCTGTGTGGCCTTTAGGGCCACCAGAGTCAGAGGTTTATTAAATCATTAGCTTTCCTAGGGCTGTGTAGAATGCTTAGCAGAATCTGCCTTTTAAACAGATGTATTTCTATCAAGTTGATTTCAGGACCCAGCTGTAGGCTCTGAAGCTCAGTACACACACACACACACACACACACACACACACACACACACACACACCCCACCCCCACTCCCACACCTGACCACCACTTTACATGGTGGCCCTGGGATTGGCTGCAGGGCAAGGTGGAATCAATCACCAGGCCACGCTGTGGCTCTTAGAGGAGAATGACCTGCTGATTCACCATATCGTGGGGCATGAGAACAAAGGTCCAGCAAAGAAGGGCCTCCGGGACCAGCATGCATTACACAGAAATCCCGTTTACCTGGCTATAGTTACAGATGCCAGGTGAACTCGTGCTGCAAAAACAATGGCTGCTGCTTCCAACTGACTGCTTGCTGTGAGAGATAGTCAGATGTAACCCACCTACAAAACAGAGACAGGATTATTATCAACCCAGGTGCTTAAAACGTGAAGGAAACGTCTATGACTCTACTGAAAAAATAAGAAAATGTCATGATCGCTAGTAAATTAATATTCTCAATACACATACTGTGTAATTTAAAAGACCCCTCAGCACTGACACGGAATCTTCTCTTTCCAGAAATGGGAGAGTGCCTGGATAACACATCAAACCCCACATTTAAGTTCCATCTGAAAAGAGAAACTGGGTAAGCTTTGGCCAATTAGAAAAAAAAAAAGATTCCCAACTGAGGCCTTGTCACATGGGCACGTATCTGCTAAGTTTGTCGCCATTTTGCCTCTGACTACTGCTTTTATGAGGTTGCTGTTGAAATAAAGCTGCCCTCTCTACGAAATAGAAGAAATGAAAGTGTCTTTTTCATGGTCTTTCGTTCCCATCTATAAATAAATGATACTGATATTTGCAAGGACCTGGGATGCCATCAGACATCCCAGGTTCCATTTAAAACTCATTTGCTAAGAAGAAAAATTTAAAAATTAAAAAACTACTAAAAAAAAAGTTGACGTGGTCATGTAAAGAGAAATATTAAGTAACAGCACAGCAGGTGCTGAACAATTTAAATTTGGGTAACAAGGAGCACCAAGCCCTTCAACCAGTTAGCATTCCAATCCGGCCGGCCTTCGATTCTGGTTTCCACATTTCCCAGGTTTCTCTCTGTGCCCTCCCTCAGAGGGGAGAAGAGGCGGGCCCCGCCCCGAGCCCCGCCCCCGAGCTCCTGCGCGGCCCCGCCCCGAAGGTGGCCTGACCGTCCACGAGCCCGCCCCGCCCCCTTGTTGATCGCGCTGGCCCCGCCCCACCCTCCCGACCACGCCCCAGAGGGTAGCCTGACCGCCCCCTTGTTGATCCAGCTGGCCACGCCCCCACACGGCCACGCCCCCGCAGGCTCCTCCTTCTCGGCCGCGGTTGCGCGGCGCTCAGTTGCAGCAAGATGGCGGCGCAGCAGCGGGAGCGCGAGGGCGGTGCGCAAGTGGCGGGGCCCGCGGCGGGGGCGGAGGCCGATGTCGACCCCCTGGGCCGCTTCACGTGTCCGGTGTGCTTGGAGGTGTTTGAGAAGCCGGTGCTGGTGCCCTGCGGACACGTGTAAGCGGCGGGCCCGGGCCTGACGACAAGGGGGAGTGGAGCCGAGGGCCGAGGCCCGGACCGGCAGCGCCTGCGGCGGGGGGACGGGAGCGCTGGCCTGAGGGGCGTCGGGGGGTCCCCGCCGGCCCGTGAAGTTGCGGGGCGTCCCTGTGCGCCGCAGAGAGCTGGCCCCGGAGCCCCCCGTGACAGCGCGCCTGTTGGGGTGACCGGGGCCGAGGTTAAAGGGCGCCCTCGCAGAACCCGCGTTTCCCTTCGACGGTTGATAGGCGAGCCCGCTGGGCGTTCGGGGAAATCTTGGGGTGCGCTCCCGTTGCCGAAAGGGAAGTGGCTGCCGCGGGGGTGGCGGGGGGCGGGGGTCCCCGCGAGCGGCCGTTGCTCCACGAGACACACAGACCCGAGTGGGGAGAGGGGCGTGGGCGGGAGGCCGCGGTCAGTGCCGGGGTGGACGCGCGGCGGCCCGGGCCCCCTTGGCTGGCGCAGTGGTCACCGTGAACCCTCAAGGGCAGCCGTCCTCCTCGCGGGCCCGCCGCGCTCCAGCTCGGGGACCTGCGTCCCCCAGTCCCCTCCCCCAGGGCTGCTGTCCACTCGGCCTGGGGAGCCCCGTCGCCCTCCTGGTCTGCACGAACCCCCTCTGCTCGTCTGGGAGCGCAGGTGGCCTCGTGGTACGGAACCGCGCTGCCAACCCAAAGGTTGGCGGTTCAAATCCACCACTGCTCCACGGGAAAGAGATGCGGGCATTGCCTGCCTGTGCCCTTTACGGCCTCCGCAGCCCCTCTGGAGGGTGGGCGGTGGGTCACTTCACGGGCCTCCATGGTCCACCACACCCTCCCGCACGGAACATCTGCACCCCCGTGTCTGCACCCATCCTCCAATCTCGAGTTAACGTGTAAGCCCACCCCGAAAAGTGTAGGAAGAGACTGAGGATGCTGCTCTCTGCATCTATTCTAAAGAAGTAGGAACGAGTGTTCACCCTGTTAGGAAAAGTGTTTCCTGAGAGTATGTCAGTGGGATCAAACCTGAGAGCAGTGAGAGAGGTGATGACCTTGCAAATGAACTGAGGGGTCAGTAGGGGAAGTCAGCCTCACAGGTGTTGACAGTGGAACTGGGTGCCCTTTCCATTCAGTCGTCTTGTCCTGGAATCAGCCCTTTTTATCCTCAGGTTTGCTTCCCTGGGAAGTCAGTGGACCTCACTGACTGTGAAGAGGCTTGACCAGCTAAAGAGCAGTGCGGTGTGAGGTATCCTTGACCCAAGACTAGAGTACATTTAGTTACTTTCGCTGTTGGGTTGCTATTGACTCATAGTGACCTTCCACAAAGTTACTGAGTCTGATTCGTAGTGGAAGGAGGGTGCCCATTTATCTACCTTGGAGCAGCTGGTGGATTCAAGCTGCCACAGAAACGCCACCTTTTAGTTAGCAACACAACACTCTTCGGGCCAGGCCACCAGCATTCTCTTACTTTTAATTATGTTCATTGCTCTTGTGTCAGAACTGCCTTAAAGCTGACCCTCTAGCGTATTTTCAGAGGCAACAAATTGCCCAGCCTCTCCCACAGAAGCAGCTGGTGTTTAATGATAGGGAATTAAGTTTCTAAGAAAACCCCTCACCTGGGTCAAAGGATGCAAAACCTGGCCCTTGTGTGCTTATTTGCTCCCCTTCAGTGCTGATTGAAGACAGATGGAAGCGTTGGTGCCTGCAGTGGTCTTCTCCCTCCACTCCAGTGCTGCTCTCTGCCCTCCCTGCCTCCTTTAGAAAGTTCATCCTCACTGAAGCTCTATCTGGAACAGTGGATGAGTAGAAAACTATCAGTCCCTGAATGACTTCATTTTTCTCCAACTTAGTGGAATACAGCTGGTTGGTAGGCTTCTGGTCAAGAGAGGAGGATTTCTAACAGTGTGACAGAAATCGTGGTGGCAGATCTCTCTGGAAGGCAAGCTAGAAAAAGGCCCATGAATAGGAAATGGAAACAGAAAGCAGACCTAAGATGCAGGGATGGTTTGCAGGCTTGTAACTGGTATGACTCAGACACAGATTGACTCATGAACCTTTGAACAGTGTGCTGGAGGGAGACGAGCTGCATGCTGGGCTTTGTGTCATCCTTCCTTGTGCTTTTTGGGACCTCCTTTGCTCTTTGGGTTTCTCTCTCACTCTGCATAGTGATAAGGACCTGCCTACTTCCCCACCTCATCACTTAATCCTTCTCCACATGTTCTCCTATAGTATAGCCCAAAGACCAACCTGCCTGCCTTTTGTACATCCCCTTTGTATTGGTGTCTTCTCTGTTTGGAATCTTGTCCAGATTTCTGTGGCTCTCAATTCAATTCGCTGCTCAAATATCACCTCACAGAAGCTTTCTGTATTCCCCCCAGCTAATCTTTTCCTTTGTTATATTACTTTCACTTAATAATTGACGTTTATATATGTCATTTTCTTTGCTCTTCTACTCCCGTCAAGTGCATAAAAGCCTTTGTCTGGTTCACTGTGTCTTCAGTGGTGAGTTAATAGACTCCCTCGCCAGCTCCCATTCAGTTCTAAAACTTTGCAGCATTCACATCTAGCTTAATGACAAAAAGAAAGTTTCTTAGAGACTATAAAGATTAGTCAGGTGTGCAGAAGATTACCTTTGGTATATATCCTGAGTCCCTCCTGGCAAGTTTTGTTATCATGCTGCAAATCTGTCATGCTGAATAAGCAGCCATGGTGTTCGCATGCCTTACTGCACATTCTAAGCTGTCTGCGCAGCATCACCTGCCTGGAAGTTGCTAGGTCCTGCTGATACTGCCCTGAATCATTTCTTCACTTCATTATCTGTTGCCTCGGTCAGGCCCACACAGCTCCTTGCTGTTAACCATCTGGTTTCTACATCAGATCTATTAACTCCCCTCACCTACCAACAAACAAAACCCTGTTGTCAGTGATACAGGTGTAGTGATTCATCTAAAACCTGCATGCTCTTACTGTTTGCTTGCTCTAAACCTCTGGCTTTGTAGTAGTCATGGGGGGGGGGGCGGAATCTGTTTCGTTTTTATTTCCTTAAATGCCTCATGAGTGTTTATGCCTTAGGGCCTGGATTGTGCTTCCCTTTCTCTACCAGCTGAACTCTTGAGGCTGACTGTGAGTGCTGCCCCTCGACTCCGGCCGGCTCTGACCTCCTTCGGCCACATCTAGTTGCTTTTGCCTTTGTGGTCTCAGCACTTTGCAGTCACCACCGCAAACAGCAGCCACTTACTGTGCATCTCATATGTGGTAGACACTGTACTGAGGGTTTGTTATACATCCTGCTAACAGATCCTGTAAGTTTATACAGCTTTGTTCATTTCCCAGGGGGAGAAAACTGGTTCACGGACCCTCACCAAGACTTCTTAATGGTGGGAACCAAGGCTTGAATTTCATTGTTCTAACTTAAACCGTATTAGTGATTGATGCCTTTAAATTGTTGAGGTAACGCTAGGAGCCCTGCTGGTGAAGTGACTGGTTTGAGCTCCCCAGTCACTCTGCAGAAGAAAGGTGTGTCATTCACACCCACAAAGATTCCAGCTTTGGAGTCCCTACTAGGCAGTTCTGTTCTGAATGGCAGGGTCAGAACCGACTCAAGGGCAGTGAGTTTGAGTTGGGTTTTGTGGTAACAGTGAATTTCAGATCTTAGTCCCTGTGACTGAAGGATCTTAGCAGTGTTCCCAGACACTGCTTTCTCCTCTGTGAAATGGGCAGAGTAGATCATGCCTCTAGGACTTGTTGGAAGGTTGTATAGCAGACATTTAAATTAGTGTTGGCAAAGAATACCGAACACACTGCCAGAAGAATTAATAGATCTGTCTGGGAATTACAGCCAGAATGCTGCTTACAAGCGAGGATGGCAGGACTTTGGTTACTACACCGGGGTGTTTTATCAGGGGGACCTGTCCTTAAAGAAGGTCATTATACTGGATAAAGTAGAGGTTCAGCAAGACAGATGACCCTCAGTGAGGTAGATTGATTGGCATAGTGGCTACAGCATTGGGCTCAAAAATAGCTGCAGTTGTGAGCATGGCACCAGACCTGACAGTGTTGTATTTTGTTATTCATGGAATCACTGTGAGTTGGCACCAAAGCACAACAAAGCCCTTATCATTGCACCACCAGGCTCCTTAGGAAAGGAGCCACCCAGGAAAATTAGAACATAGCTAGTTAAGCCATGAACATTCCTCTGTGTCTCTCAGTAGTTTACATTTGTTTCTGGACCCGTGGGCCCTTTGCAGTTGTCCCTCCCCCAGTTTCTGACTGGCATACTCATCTATTGGGAGTAGGGGGTGAGTTGGTTTAATCTCTTAGTCATTGATGTCTTTTAAAAGTTTACCCATTTTGGTGTCTTGTCTCCACAATGCATGACGGCAGCTCTCTGTGTGTCTTGTTCTAGCTTTTGCTCTGCATGCCTGCAGGAATGTCTGAAGCCGAAGAAGCCTGTCTGTGGGGTGTGTCGCAGCGCTCTGGCCCCTGGCGTCCGAGCCGCGGAGCTCGAGCGGCAGATTGAGAGCACAGAGACTACTTGCCATGGCTGCCATAAAAATGTATGTGAAAGTAACGGGAGCATCCGTGTCCTGACAAGATGGGGTGAACGAGGAGCTGCTGTAGCGCTATTTCTCAAGTTTTAGAGCATGACTAGGGGACGGGACAGCACCTGTGCATGGCTGGTTATCTGTGGCTGTGCCATTTCATTTTGAGACTCGTTCTGGTTTTACCATCTTTACAGTTTCATTCATTTTAAACTCTACACAACTGTGAAATAATGTAGGCTTGACCCCCCAGGCCACTCCAGAGTTTATCACTTTAAAAGTGATTTGGTTGAGAAACTAGCCTAAAATTTTCAGCCTTGTGAAAAGCAAAATGTAGAGTTTTTGCAAAGACCAGTGCAGGGTTTTTACAGAATGGCATCATATAATAGTATGTACTTCTACTCAACTTGATTTTATTTGAGGATTTATTGGACAGCCTTGTGAATCCATCCCACTACTTTTAATGCCTGCTTCCTCTCATAGTCGGGGTATACCTCAACACCATCTTTCAGCATGGTGTAACACTAATGCTACCCATAGAGTGAGTAGTGACTCTTCTGAATAGGGTTCTTTTCCAGCCCTTGTAATTGGGAACTCCTTGGTTGGGTGTTTAGTCATCTAGTTCTTTAGCCAGAGGTAAAAGAACTCAAATAGTAGAGCTGCTGTTGCTTTTTCCTGTTGTTTTCTTTTTATTTAAAACCTGAAGGTATTGAAATAGTTTCCCTTACTTTTCCTCTTAGATAAAAAAGGTAAGGGGGGGTGTGAGTGCGCGTGCTTTTTATTTTCTTTTTTTAAAAAAATAGTGATTATTCTATGGGTATACCTATAAAAATGTTTTACTCTCCTGTAATTTCTCTCTTTTCATTCCTTAATACTTTTCTTTTTAGAATGCTTGTGATAAAAGCACTTGGATTTCTTTTCCCTTTCCATTTTACTGTTTTAAAACTTGGCTTTTACAGGGAAGAGTTCAGAATTCAAATTTTGGGTTTTTTAGAAACTATCACAGTTTGGCAACACCTCAGCTAGGGTTTCTAGCTTTTATTGTTTTTCCTTAAATGATTACTTTTCTATGCTGCACAGATGTATAAGAATTTAGTCCTTGGTTTCTTGTAAAGAGATAGTTTAAATGCGAGTATATAAAACTTAAGAAGCTTCACTGGGTTAGAGATGTGCCTGTAAGCAGATAGCAAACCATGAATAAAGCAAATCTTTAAGAGAGCTATTTTATGCTAGTATAGAAGACATCAGATTTGGTTGGGTAAAACAGCCTTGGAAGTAAGGAATTCTGTGACTAATGTTTTGGCCCCATTGGTACAACCAGTAGTCTAGTGAACTTGTTGGCCAGGGTGGTTTATTCGTAGTTTTCATCCTTGCCCTTGCTTTGGGGCTGTGTTGGGCCCGGCACAATGTCCTGACTAATTTTGGATAATCTCATTCCTTAGATTTTCCTATCCAAGATACGGGCCCATGTGGCTACCTGTTCCAAATACCAGAATTACATCATGGAAGGCGTGAAGGCCACCACTAAGGATGCATCTCTTCAGCCAAGGTAAGAGACTTCCTTGGTAAATACAGTGGCATGTTTTGGGGTTTAAATGTACAAGTCTGGCAAAGGAGAGAAGATTCAATTGTTACTCTGGCTGTACTGATCTAAGTTATGTTTTGGTTTGGGGATTTTCTTAGTAGCAGGGATGGGTAGTCTCCCCCGATGAGACTACCGCAGTGTTTACTTAAAATATTAGCACTGCCATTAAGTTATAGCCAAAATGCTTGACCTGACTCTGATGTGATGATCAGAGCTCTTATCACGATACACTCAGTAAGCTTTGCCCTTTTTTAGAGTACAGTGGTTGAAGTTGTGTGGAAAGGTACTCATGCAAGTTTTTCCCTGCATTTTATCTTCCCAGGAATGTCCCAAACCGTTACACATTTCCTTGCCCTTACTGTCCTGAGAAGAACTTTGATCAAGAAGGACTTGTGGAGCACTGCAAATTATTCCATAGTGCAGATACCAAGTCTGTGGTAAGAGTAACTTTCTTTTGGAAAAAGTTCAGCTTATATACTTCTGTATACCCACATACCTTTCACCTAAATTCACAAATTAACATTTTGCAATATTGCCTTAACCCTATTCTAAATAAACATCTTTTCTTGCTGAGTCATTTGAAAAGTTATAAGTACCATGATCCTTTATCCCTAAATACTTCAGTCTGTCTTTATTAAGAGCAAGGACACTGTCTTACAAAGGGTGAGTGAGTGTGTGTGGAAGTGCTTTATATGCATATTTTTATTCATATTTTAATCAGGATAATTAATAATAACATAATCAGACATTTAATTGGGGATCTACATTCAAATTTTAAGTTCTTATAATCTCCTCCTTAGCCAATTCCTCTTCCCTTGAAAATCCTAAATCAAATGTGCAACAGATAGCACGTCTAATTCATCTCCTTTAGCCTGAAAAACCTCCTCAGCCTTTCATTGTCTGTCTTAACCTTGATGTTTTTTTAAAAGGACAGACTAGTTTTGTTGTAGATAATTACTTTTTTAGGTTTGCCTATTTCTTTTTGTTACGCTTGCATCATGCTGGTTTTAGTGAATATACTATGTAAGTTTTCTTTTTTCTGTTCTTTTGAAAAGTTTATTTAAGATTATTATTTCTTTTTTTCTTTTAATAATTTTAATGAACATTTACAGAGATTTTGGATTTCCATTCATTCATTGTACTTTTCTCCCTGCCCAGCACCCTGTGTAAGTTTTCTGTGTACTACATTTCTTTTATTTATTATATCTTTTATTATTTATTTATTATTTATTATTGACATAATTTGGTTAAGGATTATCTGGTATTCACTAAATTTTTCCTCAGTAAAATTGTCATCCCCCTTTACGAGTAACTGCTCCATAGATGTGTGGAAAGAGGATTTAGATAAAATTATTCAGGGATGGTTTGTCAATTTTTTTACCTTTTATTCTCAAAGACTGGCATCCAGTTTCTTTTTAAAAAGAAATGAGTCTTCAGCTTCATAGCTGTAAAAGGTGCCCATACATGGGCTTTTGTAAGAATGCTAGGAGCACTGGTGGTCCTCTGAGAAGTTGACGCTGGGCTCCTGACTGAAATTTGATGGTTCAAGTCCACCCACCACCGTGGGTGAATGAGGCAGTCTGCTCCCATTAAGGTTTACAAGTTTGGAAACTGTATAGCAGCTCTCCCCTGTCCTGTAGGGTTGCTTTGAGTCACAGTCAGCTTGACAGCAGTAAGTTGGTCTGGGTTATAAAGACACTATAGTAGCTGTCATTAACTAATCTTAGACCTGGTTGCATTTTTGGTTTTCTATGATAAATATTAGGGCATTCTGGTGGCCTAGTGGTAAGAAGCTGTGCTATAATCCTGAAGGCACATGGTTCAAATCCATCAGCTTCTCCATGGAAGAAGGATGGACAATCTCCCATGTGAACTGTCTCTGAAACCCACTAAAGGGTCAGTTCAAACTCAGTGGTATGCAACAACAACATGGTAGATATTATCAGGGAACTTTGGCGGCCTAGCAACAAGAAGCTGCACCACAAAGGCCCATGGTTCAAGTCCAACAATGGGCCGAGGATAGGCAGTCTTCTCCTGTGCAGTTAACTGCCTCTGAAAACCCACTGAAAGGTCAACCATGGGTCGATTCCAGTTCGGTGCGACACAACCATAGATAATGAGGCGCAACTGAACTATTCATGAATATCTTAAATCCTTTGCTGATGCATTCCTTGGCGAGTTCAGATGCTTGGCAGCCGTTCTTTCCACTGGCCTCCCTGGCCTTTTTTTAACATTGTTTAACAGATTGCAGATGGAGAACCTTTGTATGCTTTTCCTACCTCCCTAAAGTCCTCTGTGTATACCTTTTTGAACAATCATTGTGGTTCCAAACACATTCTCCGATGGCTAAATCTGTTTCATTAAGGTCAAAGGGCATGAACTGTCCCCATCCTTTCTAAATGTAAGCTGAATCATACTGTGACATACTTCAGAGCATCAGGTGTGTGTTCCTTATCTCTCCTGTCTGTCTAGCTCTCTAGTCTACACCCAGTGGTGAATAGCACAACTGGCCCACGTAGAAAAGTTAATTTCTCTAACATTTAAAAATGAGATTTCTTAGTCTTAGTGCTCTTACGCATTTGAAAAATTAGTAGTTCTGGCAAAACTCAGCTGGTTCTTATACTCAGCTGTCCCTTATACATGGAACATGTGTTCTTGCTTGTACCTATCCTATTTTACCTATGGCTTGCTAGATAGAGCTTGAGTTTGTAACCCTTGTTCCTTGTCCGTCCCCCCTTTGAGGAAAAAGGCTCCTTGTGAAGTTTCTTTCCACTACATTCTCAGATCTCTCTCAAGGACCAAGAGTGTCTCATACAGACTGAGAGCTTAGTTTCACATAACTGCTACTCTTGATTTCACCCATCATCTTTGTTCTCACTTCTGGCTTTTCTCTCTTTGACCTTTTCCTTTGTGTTATTTTAAATATTTCTGAGTTCTCAGGAGTAATTCTGGGAGACATTTGATCTGGTCATTTCTGTAGATAGAAATGTCTTTTTCCTCCAGCTGGTTTTTCAATGGTTGCTGTCTTTTTTTCCTCCCTTCCCCCTTATGCCGCAGAGTCGGACACACACTGGAAATCATCTTCATGAGCCCAGCTCATTCTCTGGGAGTTCTGCTTTCCTTTACTGCTTAGTAGTTGTAAAAATGTGTTTCTTTTGTAAATAGTTCATGTGTAAAAGGTAGACTGTAACAAGTATGTGTCTGATTTCATCCTTTGTCCCCAGTTTATCACAGCTTTGTCCCTGTTTCTTTATAATGTTGCATTTTATTCTTTATTCAGATTTATTAAACTGTGATGATGAACCTTTGGACTACATTTTTTGGGAATGGGAACAAAGAATGGATTTCTTTCAGTCAGTTAGTCAGGTGCTGTCTTTTAAATTTCTTGACATAGGCTGGTGAACATGTCCAGGGCTGCATCTGTTTTGTTAAAATGCACCACTTGTTATTCTGTCAGTTTCATCAGAGTGTGGAAATTATTGAATTATTTTTAATGTCACCTGCAAGTAAAACCTTGCTGAAGATATTTTTAAATGGCTGGAGATCTCCATTGACAGGGAACTGCTTGAAATTCAAGTTGTATACAGAAGAGGCTGTGGAAGGAGGATCATTGCTGATGCCACATGAATCTTGGCTAAAAGCACAGAATTCCAAAAAGATGCTTACTTGTAATTTATTGATTATTCAGAGATGTTTGACTCTGTCAGGCATAACAAATTATGGCTAACCTTGAGAAGAATGGAGTGTTAGCACAAGAATTGTGCTCATATGAAACCTGTACATCAACCAAGAAGCAACTGTCTGAAAAGAATGAAGGAACTCTGTTTTGTGGCTTAAAATCAGGAATGGTGTGCATCAGGGTTTATTCTTTCTCCATATCAATTCAGTCTGTGGCTAAGCAAAACATTTGAGAGGTTGGACTATAGAAAGAATGTGGCATCCGGTTTAGAGGAAGACTTGTCAACAGCCTGTTTTGTGTATATGCCAACTATCCATTCTTCAACGACTTTATTTTACTTGAGCATTTTACAATCTACAGCAATGGAAGTAGTCAAGAATCCAAAGATGTGTTACCCTGGGAAAATCTACTGTCAAGAACCTTTCCAAAGTGCTAAAGAGTAGCGATATCAGTTCAAAGATTGGGGTGCACCTGACACAAGCCATAGTATTTTCAGTTTCCCATGCATCTGAAAATTGGATAGTGAGGATGACAGAGGAAGAATAGATGCCTTTTCATTTTGTATTGGTAGAGTATTGAATATACCATAGACTGCCAAAAGAACAAGCAAATTTGTTTTTTTTTATTATATTATTTTTGTATGAGTGTACCATCAAATCAGATCTGACTGGTACAGGAGGAGATTGTCCCTCCTTCCCCGGCAGAGCATCTGGTGGATTCGAACCGTGCACCTCTGGGATTGTAGTTGCAGCTTCTTGCCACTAGGCCACCAGAACTCTCCTAGAACAAGCAAATTTGTGCTGAGGACATACAAGTAGGATACTCGTCAGAGGCAAAGATAGTCCAGCTTCCTCTCAGATACATTGGGCACGTTGTCAGGAGCCTCAACAAGATAGATTGACAGAGTGACGAGCCATGCTTGGGCTTGAGCATGGCAGAGATAAGCATGGTGTAGGATAGGGCAAGGTTCAGCGCTCTTCAGGCCATGGAGTCATAGGCACGACAGTACCTGACAACACGATAATGTATTATCACTTGCTATTTTCGTTTTATAAAAATAAACCCAGCGTAAAACATCCCACCATGATGAGTAGCCGATCTTGAGATCAGACAGTTACAAATCATTATTTTCACTCAAATAATTCAGTCACCCTTGTCTTTTGACACTAATAATCATCATTCTGTTTTATCTTTGTTACACAGGTCATTGAAACTGAGCAGGTGCTAACCTGGAATGGCATTGTACTCGTTTTCTAGGTCTGCTGTAATAGAACACCACAAACTGGGTATCTTAGAAATGTAATATGTTGCTTCTGGAGGCTGGGTGTCCGTGATCAGGGTGATGATGGTTTCTGAGCCCCCTACTTAGTTTCTGATAGTTCCATGTGCTTTCTGCTTTGGCATTTGAAATATCACACATCTGTCTTTCCTTTGTCTCCCTGGTTTTTTTTATATCCTCACTTTAAAAAGGACTAGTTGTATAGGACACACTCTACTAAAGTATGAGCTCATGTTAGCCTAACTGATAAGTACCTTCAAAGATCTTGTTTCCAGAGTCAAACATTCAGGGGTGAGGACTTCATTCAATTTATAACAGTCAAAAAACATGGAATTTTGCTTTCCCTTATGATTCCAGAATGGCTGCCTGGGTGAGAGGGCATTCTAGGCAAGAAAAGAGATGTGTTCACTGAAAAATACCCCAGAGCTACATTTTCATTTCCCGTCTGCAGAGATTTTAACTGTGTTGCTTTATAACTAATTACCAAGTGAGAAAGCAGTTGTGCATAGACATGAAACATTGTCCATCTGTCCCCACCATCCACTTTGTTTTAAAGTGAACTAGAAATGACACTTAACAATAACGATGGACACTGAACTTATTTCTAGACAGGAATTTAAAGACTGTTAATAACTTAAGAAGTCCTGGTGGCATAGTCTGTTAGGTATTGGGTTGTTACCTGAAAGGTTATTAGTTTGAATCCACCAGTCAATCCGTGGGAGAAAGATGAATAGTTACTTCTTGTAAAGGATTTACAGTTTCGGAACCCTGATGGAGGGTTGGAGGGTTGCCCTGAGTTGGGATCTGGTTATTGCTAATGTTAAGTGTGATAATGGAATTATATTTGATAGGAAAATATTTTTAGCATTTTACTAAGATACTTAACGGTGAAGTGTTTTTATTTTAAGTTTTCTGAAATCATAGACATAAATGTAGATGTTGGGTGTAAAAGATACAGTTTATTAAACTATTACCTATTTTTCTTACGCTTGAAAATTTTTTTATAGTAAGTTTTTAAAATGTTAACAAATTTCTACATCTTTGTCTTATTTTGGTCAGAGGTTCTGTGCACTCATTATTCGCCGGTCATTGTTAACCACCTATAGTTTCGGGTACTGCATTTCCATTCTCTCCCCCCCCTTCCTGAAATCCCTTTGCTTACTCCTGTTGCAGCTTTCTCTTCAGCCCTTTGTCCTCTGTCCCAGCTCCTATCCTTCCAGGAACATATACCTCTAATTATTTTAGCCATTTCTTGGGAAGCCGCCACTTCTTCACTTTCTGTTCCTGACCTATAGTCAGGCTGCACAGCTGCCGCTCATCTACTGGAATCTTCCCCAGCTCTGATTTCTCTCTCCAGCCCCTTTTATCACCATATATTCCTTGCCAATGGGGTGTGGGGTTCCATCTTCAAACGGGAGCATTTATGCTTCACCCTTTTTATCTCCACAAACTTTCCATTCTAGCCAGCCCCGTCATCTGACCTCTTCCTCTAGTACAGCCTCCTGGCCTGATCTCCACGTCACTTCTCCCTTGGTGAGCTCTCTTGTCTTGTCTTTTCTTTTCTAAACACCTCTACAAGCCTGTATCAATCTCTTGCATGAAGCCTTTTAGACTGATTCCCTTCATCTCAGTACTCATCAGATGAGTGTATAAGGCACTGTTCTCTTTGCTGGTTACTTAACTTGATCTTTGCACTTTCAGTCTCTTTGTATGTTGTTGTTGAGTCGCTTGCGACTCATAGTGACCCTATGTACAAGAGTCCTAAACCCTTCTCTATCCTGTGCCAACCTCACCATCTTGGACATACTCACTCCCACCACCCTAATAATAGAATTGATCCATCTCATCGAGGGTCTTCCTCTCCTGCGCCATCCTTCCACTCTCCCAAACGTGATGTCCCTCTGCACCGACCAACCCCTCCTTGCAACATGCCCAAAGTATGTCAGACGAAACTTCAGAATCCTTGACTCCAAGGAGCATTCCGGCTTCACTCTCTCCAGGACAAACCTGTTTGTTCTAGAAGTATGTTAGAAGGCCATATTCTGTGTACTTCTGTAGCAGTGCTACTTTTCAGAGTACAGAAGGGGGTCAGGAAAAGGGTGTCACTGTGACATAAACCATTGTCCATCCTCAAGTGTCATTTGACTTAGAGGACACAGGCAGAGTTTCTGGGATTCTAATGTGAAGGAAAGGGAATTCTGGTGGCCTAGTGTTAAGGAGTTGCACTGGCAACCCAGAGGTACGTGGTTTGAATCCACCAGGTGCTCTATGGAAGAAAAATGAACAATCTCCTCTCAAGTAATTAACTGCCTCTGAAAAACTGCTAGAGGGTCAGCTATGGGTTGGGTCTTACTCAGCAGTACACAACATCATCCGTGTGAAAGCCCTGGCTTGTATCTCAGGAAGGGAAGGAGGCCAGACGCCACAGGGGCTGATGTCAACCTGGTTTATTTGGTGCCTAAGATGTCGCTTCTTTGTTAAAAGGTTTGTCCGATTTGTGCTTCGATGCCCTGGGGGGACCCCAACTACCGCAGCGCCAACTTCATGGAGCACATCCAGCGCCGGCACCAGTTTTCTTATGATACTTTTGTGGTGAGTGTAGAGCCCAGGCTCTGCTCTTTGCCCTGGGGACAACATGACACCCTCACTTCTCTGGTACGAGGAGCTCAGGGCCCTTGTGTTGAGCATTGTCATCAGATGCGAGGAGCCCTTTATCCTGGAACAGTAGCTGTGTGGCCTGCTCGGGAGCCAGGTATGCGACTAGCCTTGTGTAGTTTGGTGTTTGAGAAGATAAACAAGTTGGTTATCTAGACAGAAGACAGTTAAAGCCTGTCCTTATCCCTCTCCCTCCCCCCCCCAAAAAAAAATTTACCTACTTTCTTTCCATGTATATATATCTTGAGCTCACTGCCCATTGGGACCAGCAGGTAATGGAAGCTGTCCTCATAAGAATTTACAAGCTGGAGAGAGACTTACTAAGGAGTGGTTACCAGTGGCTGAAATTAAGGCTTTAGAATAACCATCCTTTTTCGGCCAATGCTATGTTGAATAAAATTCCTTAAAAATGCCCAGTAGATACTTTGGTCTTGTTAAAGTAAACAGCCTTCGTGCTGTAGTGAGCTAAGCCTTGAGCTGCTAACAGAAGTATCAGTAGTTTGAGCCCACCAGGGAGAAAGACGAGACAGTCCCATAAAGATACAGCCTTGCAGGCTCCATCAGGCAGTTTTGCTCTGTCCTCTTGGGTTGCTGTGAGTCCAGATGGACTCAGACAGCAGTGGGTTAAAGAAAGTTTCACTAGTTCTTTTGTGATCCTAAAGACCCCGATCTGTACTGACACCTTATAGAAATAACACTCAGCCGAGCACATTTGTTAAGGTGTCTCTCTTCCCCTCCTGATCAACTCCAGTTAATAAGTGACCATGTCCCTGCGCAGTCCACCTTCTAGGTGTCGTGCAGGTGGTCTGGCTCTCACGCTCTCTGTATGAAGGTGGCATCCGTGTTCTCATGAGGATAATTGGCAGAGACACAGGGTCATGCCGTTGCCCAGAGTACATGATTAATATGCAATTGGGCTTGGGTCTGTTCCTGGGAAGCTACCTCTGAAGCCCATTGCTGATTGCCCAGCCTCTTTGAAAGTGAGTCCCTGCACTGTGAGCAGTGGGAGAGGCTGAATGTCTGTTTTGCTGCAGGACTACGACATAGATGAAGAGGACATGATGAATCAGGTGCTGCAGCGCTCCATTGTGGACCAGTGAGCACTCAGCAGTGCATCTCCCCATCCAGAGCTTCCACGTGTGACTCTGGACTCTTGCACCTCCAGTGTACAGCAGACTTGGATCGAGCGGTGGCATTAAGGATGGGGCCCATCTGACCTGGGAGATAAAGGCCCTAGGGCATAGCTCCCTCTTTCCTTGGCCTCTTTACCAAAGTTATCTTCCCTTCTTGTTAATGTTTTGTCACCCAGTCTAGTCTCCTGTTAATTCGCAGCTACTTCCACCTCCTCTCCACCACCACCTGCTCTCTCGTTCCACACGGCTCCCTCTAGTCCAGTGATAATCTCAGGTCCTCCAAGCCAGCCAGGACCTTTTTTTGGGTCATGAATAGCACAAATGAGACCAGCATCATCATCTTGTCCTTGAGGTGTGAGCACTGGCAGTGTGCATGTGGGCAGAGAAGCTCCTAGTGTGCTCTGCCTCTTCCACTTAGCTGTGTATGGCAGCATCTGCTACAAGCTAAGGTGGCCTTTTGGGTCTGATGGCAGAAAGTTTGATTAGCAATGTTTCCATCCTGCCCTTGCACACCCTTAGCATTAACTGGTTCAGTCTTAAATGCCTGCATGGTGCCTTTTTAGGATAAGGTATAAACACATATTTTTAGAGTGTTTCTAGGTTAGGAAAATTAAAACCCATACCTGTAAATGGGAGGAAGGTCACAGCTTTTTGGTTCTGATTTTCAAACTGACGGGAGATATTTTCATGACTGCATCAGGTTGACCTCCTTACTTAGGGGCTTGCTAATAGTTTTGTCTTTAAAACATGCAAAGTAGTCCTGAGTAAGAAGGGTGAGGCAGGGCTCCAGCAGAGAGTTACTGGTTCTTTTCAGTTGGTGACTTAGTTTAGATTGAGCATTGTTTTCCTGTCACAGTTGGTTTCCTGTGACACTGGTTAGCCATGTAAATACGTTTATGAAAACCTCCAGATGTGGAGCAGGGTTCTAGGCAAGCTGCTCTCATGCCCTGTTGCCTCTTGTGACAAGACAGACTGTTCGTAAGAGAGCAGTGGTCAATAAAAGCTGTCTACTAGAAATGGACTTCGGTAACAGGTCAGGAAGCCCCAAGTTTTTAGTCCACAGATGTTGATAAATAAAAGATTAAAGTGTATATCCGCTTACTCTGTAGGAGCAGAAACTGGTCAACCAAAAGGCACGTGAAATTAGGTCTTTTTTATTTTTTTCCTGTCAGACATCTCGAGTCCAGGGGTGGAAAAGGGTTCTAGCCTGTGGCTGATGTAGGGCATAACCGAAGGGATCTGTCCCTGTGCCGCTACTGTAAGCCCTCCCTCCTGACTGTGAAAACAGAACTGGGCTGGGCAGTGCCCTTGCTGGGGAGACCTGACTAGAGCACATCTATCTTGCTGGTGGTTCAGAGAAACTAACTGACTTTCTTGTATTAAGTGCACTTCATGTATTTCTAATAAGATGATCTTCCAGAAAGTGTAATTTGTTATGTTCTGGCTTTTAAAAGGTGAAAGAAATAGAAATAAATTTCATAATTTATCCAACTGGTAAGCATTCAGGACTGCTTTATTGAACAGCCTTGCCAGAGCCTGGGCGTGGGAGCCTCTGGGAGAAGGCTGCTCTTTCTGAGGGGAAGGTTCTTGTCTGACAGGAGGCCCGTCTGGCTTCTCATCACACTGCACCAGCTGCGCCCCGAAGGAAATGAACACATCCCAGTGTGGCATAGTTGGGAAGCCCCCATGAGACCAGAGGGAAATGCTCCATAAAGTTGGGCTTCAGCTCCTCTCTGATGACCTCACCACAGCCCGGGGACACTGTAGTCAAGGCTCCACAAGGTGAAGCTGCAGGTCTCAGATTCTGCCAACTCTGCTGCTGGCTATCGGAGATCTGGCAGAGACACTGCTTTTGGAACCTGGAACCTGTTTCCCTGCTATGAAATGGGGGAAGTAGTTCCCCTCCCTCAAGGATGCGAACCCCAGGTCTGTCTGCCCCCTTTGTGGGTTCTCCAGGTGGAGCTTCTCCAGGCCTTCCTCTTCCCACAGCAAGCACACATTTCTCACCACATTCCCTTGTTTAGTAGATGATGCCTGAAGTGGCTCGAGCCAGAAACCTGGAATTCTTGACTTTCCCACATCCATTCAGGTTGCCTTGGGCTAAGTATTGATTGAACCCTCAACTCTAGTTATAAGTCAAGTCAAGAAATTGAAAAAAAAATTGCAATCTGCTTATTTCTCAATATATAACACCACTATGTGCTGGGACTGTCTTTGAAATCCCTTGTCTGAATAAAATGACCAAGAATGCGCTGTCACAGACCCGAAAAAAAGGAGAAGAGGGAACAAAGTTTGAGGCCCTAGGTGGGAACACACGTTTCCCTCTGGGGAGCTAGAGAGACGGGTAAAGGGGTAGGTATGGCTGTGTCAGGAATTCTCTGAGAGCGTTGGGGGTTCAGAGTGACGTTACCTGGCCTCAGTATAAAGCAAATCCTGGTAGTGTATGGAGGATGGGGTGCCAGAGGGAAGAGATCAGAGAGGTATATCCTCAACCAGCTAAAGGTGCTGATGGCTTGAGACCAAGTAGTAGCAGTGGGATGTCAAAGTGATCCTTTTGGCCAGGCATTTCCTGGGAAGAGTTGAGAACAAACTTGAGGTTTGGGGCTTATCAAGCTGGGTGAATGGAGATTTTTTTTCCTGAGATGGAAGGATCCCAAGGACAGCTGAGGGGAGACGGCTGTGATGAATGGCCACTTCCAGCTTAGGCTGTGACTTCAGGCTTCATGCACAGAAAGTGCCAGCTCTCGAAGTGACTTACAAGAGATAAGCATGGGCTAGGAGTCAGAGATCCATGTGGATAAAGCTGTTTCCTGAAACATACAGGTAGGCAGAGGTAACATTTCTACGTTTGTTCTTAAAATAGAGGTAGATACTGGAATATTTCTACAGTAATCATACACTGTTTGGCTGAAGACTTTAATTCCTTAATGGAAAAATGATCAGTTTCTTTTTAATCAGATCTATATAGTGTTGACAAAGCACCCAATATGTATCAACTCTGTGCTACATCTTGGAGATTCAGACATTAAATACATAATTACAAACTGGTAGGTGTTCATGAATAGCTTTTTAATAAATATCCGTAAAGTAAGGAGTCTTGGTGGCACAATGGTTAAGCATTCAGCTGCTAACCAAAAGGCTGGTGGTTTGAACCCACCCAGAGGTTCTATAGGAGAAAAGACCTGGTGATGTGTTCCTGTAAAAGTTGTTAGGTGTTGGTGTTGTTAGCTGCAACTCTTAGTGACTCTTTGAACAACAGATCTGAACCTGGCCTTATCTTGAATGATGTGTGCCATTATCACCATCTCCTGCATACTTGAGCCCACTGTTACAGTCCCCATGTAAGTCCATCTTGTTAAGGGTCATCGTCTCCTCCATCCACCTTTCCAAGCATGATGTCCTTCATATACTTTGGGTGTGCTAGGAGTGGCCAGCAACTTAGTACCTCTGAAAACCTGCTGGAGGGTCAGCTGTGGGTCAGTTCTGATTTGACAAAACACAACATCCCTTACTCAGTTCACAGGCCTGGCCCAATGTATTTGGGGCAGTAGTGTCCTTTGAGTATGGTTTGCATCACTTGAATCTTAAATGAGAGTGAAGCCAGCAGAGAGAAGGGACCTCAGGACCACCAGGAAGAGCTGAGAGTTGAACATGTCCTTTGGATTTAGGGGTCCCAGTGCTAAGACTCTCCTAGACCCAGGTGATTAATGCCAAGACAGAGGAAGAACTCCAAGGAACACTGGGCTGAGATGTTGGAAAGAGAGAACGGGCTGCCTTTTCAGAGCCAACAGTGAAAACTTTCCCCCAAAGCTAGCACCCTGAAGTAAGTCTTCTCACTTCCCAAATTGTGTGAGAATAAACACGTGGTTTTGAAAGCCATCTACTTGTGTTTTTGTAAGAGCAGCACTGGACAACTAAGTTACCACCTTAAGTACTGCTTCTGAAGTAATTGGCCTACTTGCCCGTGTGTCCCATTTGCAATGTGGCTGTCCAAGTACTGCCTCTGGAGTAGTTGGCCTACTTGCCCATGTATTTGCACTGTGGCTGTCCAGGTCAGAATTTCATTGATGATGATTCTGTAGGACCATTTACTTCTAACATTACAAAGGCCATTTATTAAAAAGGTACATAGATTTCAGAGGGAGCGCTGGTGACTTACTGATAGGAGATACACTGCCAACCCAAAGGCTCATGGTTTGAAGTCACCAGTTGGACATGGGCACGCTCCTTCCCTGCGATTTACATCCTCTGCAAACTCCTGGGAGGGTCCACTATGAGTCAGTTCTGACTCAGTGGTACACAACAGATTGTAGGGACTCTCGTGGCACAATGCCTAAGCGTGTGGCTGCTAACTGAAAGATCAAATGTTTAATCCCAGAGCTTTGGGAAAGAGAGCAGTTTGCTTCTGTAAATGTCCCAGCCTTTCTAATCCTACAGGGCAGTCCTGCCTTGTCCTGTAGGGACATAATGAGCCCAGATGGATTCTAAAACAGCAGATTTACTAGATTGAGTTCCTGGAGGCCAGAGTCTTCATCTGTCTCCTTGACCTCTGAAATCCCAATGCTCAGTTATAGATTTACTCCATACAGTTAATGTAAGTTTCCATTAAGCATTCATATATAGTTAAAAGGCTGAGGCACCCATTTCCTCTGGCAACTAGCACTGCACCCAGCATGGCTCCATCTCAGCTCTCCTGCATCCACTCGGCCCTCATCCAGCTTGACAATGAGATGATGACCATCACGGAGGATAAAATCAATGCCCTCATGAAGGCAGCCATTGTCAATGCTGAGCCTTTCTGGCCCGCCCCATTTGCAAAGGCCCTGCAGATGTCAACATTGGGAGCCTCATCTGCAATGTGGGTGTTGGTGGGCCTGCCCCAGCAGCTGGGGTGCACTGCTGGAGAACCCGCCCTCTCCAGCCGAGGAGAAAGTGGAAACAGAATCTAGAGTCTGATGATGACCTGAGAT